GTAGTCGGGGTGCCAGGAGGAGTTGTGCTTCTATGCCAATCACCTCTGAGGCAGCCTGGACTCCCTCGTAGGCGGCCAAGATTTCCTTCTCTGTTGGGGTGTAGTTGGCTTCAGACCCTCTGTAGTTCCGACTCCAAAATCCCAGTGGTCAGCCTCGAGTCTCATCAGGCACCTTCTGCCAAAGGCTCCAGGACAGACCATGGTTCCCGGCTGCAGAGTAGTGCACGTTCTTCACATCTGGTCCTGTCCTGACTGGGCCAAGGGCTACTGCATGAGCAATTTCCTGCTTTATCTGGGCGAAAGCTTGCTGCTGCTCGGGGCCCCAGTGGAAATCATTCTTCTTGCGGGTGACCAGGTAGAGAGGACTCACGATCTGACTGTACTCAGGAATGTGCATTCTCCAGAAACCGATGGTGCCTAAGAAAGCTTGTGTCTCCTTCTTGTTGGTTGGTGGGGACATAGCTGTGATCTTGTTGATGACATCTGTAGGAATCTGACGCCGTCCATCTTGCCACTTCACTCCCAAGAACTGGATCTCTCGAGCAGGTCCCTTCACTTTACTCTTCTTGATGGCAAAACCAGCTTCCAGGAGGATTCGGATGATTTTCTCTCCTTTCTCAAACACTTCTGCTGCTGTGTTCCCCCACACAATGATATCATCAATATATTGTAGATGTTCTGGAGCCTCACCCTTTTCTAGTGCAGTCTGGATCAGTCCATGGCAGATGGTAGGACTGTGCTTCCACCCCTGGGGCAGTCGGTTCCAGGTGTACTGCACTCCCCTCCATGTAAAGGCAAACTGAGGCCTGCATTCTGCTGCCAGAGGAATGGAGAAAAATGCATTGGCAATATCAGTAGTGGCATACCACTTCTCTGCCTTGGACTCCAGCTCGTACTGAAGTTCCAGCATGTCTGGCACAGCAGCGCTCAGTGGTGGAGTCACTTCATTCAATGCACGGTAGTCCACAGTCAATCTCCATTCTCCTTCAGATTTACGCACAGACCAAATGGGGTTGTTGAAGGGTGAGTGGGTTTTGCTGACCACCCCTTGGCTCTCCAGCTCTCGGATCATCTTATGGATGGGAACCACAGCATCTCGAGTTGTTCTGTACTGTCGACGATGCACTGTTGAAGTGGCAACTGGTACCTTTTGTTCTTCTCCCTTCAAAAGTCCTACTGTAGTTGGATTCTCAGACAGTCCAGGCAAGGTGTTCAGTTGCTGGATGCCCTCTGTCGCTACAGCTGCTATCCCAAATGCCCACCTGAGTCCCTTTGGGTCTTTAAAATACCCCCTTCGAAGGTAATCTATGCCCAAAATACATTTGCCTCTGGACCAGTCACAATAGGGTGTTTCTTCCACTCATTTCCTGTCAGACTTAAATCAGCTTCCACCAAGGTAAAGTCCTGTGATCCACCTGTCCCACCAGCAATAGAGACAGATTCTGCCCCTACGTGTCTCAATGGAATTAACGTGCATTGTGCACCAGTATCGACCAAAGCCTTATATCTTTGTGGTTCCGATGTGCCAGGCCAGCGAATCCACACAGTCCAGAAAACACGGTTTTCCCTCGCCTCTACCTGGCTAGAGGCAGGGCCCCTCTAAGCCTGGTTATCCTTCTTGCCTTGGGCGTATGTCTTAGAGGTTCCTTCAAGGGGATCAGACATGTCATCATCATCATCATGCCTGGCAGTTTGGCTACGGGCAACTGGAGCTGCTCTCCTTTTGGTGGCACTTCCTCTCTGAGTCTTACCTTCCTTCAATTCATGCACCCGTTGTGCCAGAGCACCAGTAGATTTTCCGTCCCATTTCCTCATGTTTTCTCTCCAGTCGTGCAGGAAGAACCACAGCTCAGCTCTTGGGATGTACTTTCTCTCACCATCTGAGGAATGTCTACGTTGGATACCAGAACCTCTGATCTGTACTGCTGAGATTTGGAGAAGGTCCTCCTTAATCTCCTCCCTGAGTGTCTTATGATTCTCCTCTATCTTATCTTCTAATTTCTGCAGACGCGTTTCCACTGCTGCAATTCTGGCATGGGTTGGGCCATGTACAGCATCTGCATATGCTCGGAGTTTCTTTGCCATATCGAGCACGGTCTCATCCCTCTCATCCCGCTTTATTATTGCTAAGGCAGAAGCGTATTCATGTGGCCCAAGCCGTACAAGTTTTCGCCACATCACAGATGTGCATGGTACCAAGTCTGGATTCCTAGTTGTTATTTCATCTGAGAAGATAATCTCTGCCACTGCTATTTCTCTCAGGCGTTGGATCCCTTGTTCTGTAGTCTTCCACTGGGTCTGCTGCATATAAAGATAATCTGCACACAGGTATTTTTGTGCTACACTTTCCATAACCCGTGCCTAGAGGCTGTGAGGGTTAGCCCCCCTCATCATTCCTTGATCAATGACAGGATCATGTGACAGGGATCCCAAATGTCTTGCCTCAGTACCATCCAGAATTGTAGCCTCCCCTGCAGCATCCCAAAGACGGACCAACCAACTAATTATAGACTCATCAGGTCACCGAGTGTAATCCTTTCTTAGCTCACGAAGGTCCTTTAGGGAAAAGGACTCAGTATTGGCCTCTGATCTTGTACCAGCTGCTTTGCCTTCTGATTTTATGTCAGCAGGCATTGAGGGTCCCTCTCCTGCATTATCATCATCATCATCATCATCATCATCCACCAGTCGATTGGTCTTTTCTGTGCGCTTCCCACTTCTTGTGCTAGTAGCAACAACCATTGGTTGAGGCTTGGCTGCTGAGTCTGGTTTAGCTGCTAGCTTAGGCTGACTGTCTCGTTTAGCTGCTGGTTTTGAGCCGGGGGTGTTGGCTGCAGCCTGAGTGACTGGGATCGCTGCTGATTTATCTCCCTTCCCCCCTTCCTCTGTCTGCTGCCCTACAGTATCTAGCAGGGTGCGATAAGCATATGCCAGGGCCCAGCTCACTGCAATGATTTTTTCTCCTTAAGAGTTATCATGGCACTTCTCTTTCAGGTACTTCGCCACCTCAGCCGGATTCTGAATTTGTTCACAGGGAAAGCCCCAGGTTATAGGGTCAGAAAATTCCTTTAAGATTTGGCCCATATTCTCCCATTTCCCACACCACTCAGGACTTCTCACACCTTGGTCTACTCCTGGGTCAGAGGTCTCATCAGCCCCTCTAGAAATCTCCGCCCTCATTCTAGAGAGACTGCAGACTGTATAGAGAAAGCTTACCAGATTAAACACCAGGAAGATGGTCTCCTTAACAGTCAGGGGAAACTGAACATTCTCTAATAGGGAGGCAACGAATTCAGAGGAGAAGAAGGAAAGCAAAGGCTGAAAAGCCTCATCCCCTACTTCCCCTCTAACAAACTGGCTGTACAACCATAACCATGAACCATACATTCCAGGAACAGACCTCAGCACCTTTATAAATCCCCTGCAAGCCATTACACCCAAGCCCAGCCCGATGGATATTCTGGTCAGTGCCCTTCTACTGCATAAACTACGTATTAGGGACAATACTGGAGCTATTCCTGGATAAAAAAAAATAAACCTAGGGACCATAGGGGGATTAAGATCTCAAAAACCCCTAGGGACCAGAGACACATGCAGGCCTTCACCCCAAGAGACACTATGAATTCAAACAACATGACCAGTAACTGTTCCATACAAACACAAAGTAATTGGAACAAAAATATGATTACAACAGGGTTTTTTCCACTCTCTCAAGACACGAGTTGGGCGCTAAAGTATTTGTCCTAGTTTAGGGCAAATTTGGGGAAAACCCTCTGGAAGGAGCCCCCAGAAAACAAACACCCATGACCCCTCCCCACCCACTTGGTTCGGGAAAAAATTTTCTCTGAGAGGAGTTGAAAAGAACCTGTTTATTTAACAAACAAAGAAATCCCCAGCACCAAAAGAAAATTAACAACACCAGATGACAACAAAACTCTTTCACCACTCTGAAGAGATGAACATATCCAGAAAACCTTTCCTGGGAGTGGTTGCCCGGGTCTGGGCACTGGGGATGGGGATTGGTCTCCGGCACTGGGGATGGCTGCTGCAGATCACAAAACGCAGGCTTCCGCTGTCCCTTGGTGTTTCCCAGATCTCAGTCCGGAGCAGGTTGGATGGTATTCAGGAAGAGGAAAGGAAAAGAAACAGTCCAGGGAAAGAATTGGACTGTTTAGCTAAACTAACTAGGAAGCAAAGGCAAAAGCAGAAGCAAGCAAAGCAAGCAAGCCAAGCAAGCAAGCCAAGCAAGCAAGCAAGACAAAGCAAGCCATCCAGCACTAGCCTTTTCTAGACAGCAGACCATGGGGGGAGGTGAACCAGCTGATAGCAAGGCAAAACAAACTTTCACTTTCAGAGTCAGTTCTGAAAGCACAGAACATAATATCAAACATAAACAGAACACACGATTGGAGATACAAACACCATAACATGACCCTAGGACACTAATTTTAAAATCTTAACTAAAATATGCAGTCTTTTACTATCCTAATTATATTCTCAGCTGGCCCCTCAACTCATCTGCAGTTTTCAGTTGTCCTAATTACATTTCTAGCTGACTCCTTGACTCATAATTGTCTATCTGCACTATTCTGAATAAATTGACTTGAAGCAGTAAAATGGACTGCTGTCAGAGAGCAATTTAGCACAGTAGTGTACTTTGTTTTGGGGAGAAAGTGAAGGACCTGGCCATGTTAGTTGATTATCTTCCTTAAAAAATTAGGTATTAAACATGTTATTAATACTAGAGCTCTGGTCATAAAAGGTTAATAGAGATTATAGGTAACTTAAGACATAACAGAGCTTGGTAATTTAAATCCTAAATAGCTTTTCTAACAACTAGGTATTTTTAAAACGTGCATATTCTTTGAGAACATTCGTCACTCCTTAAAATTTTCCTTGGTTCTGATAACAGGTAGATTTTTCAAGTTTTGATTTTTGGATGTTTAGGGTATGGTATATGAATTAAGTAAAAATACCAACTGCATTTTATTCTATCCTAGGTAATTTGCAAGTCAGATGCTCCTACAGGGGATGTTCTGCTTGATGAAGCTCTGAAACACATAAAAGAGACCCAACCTCCTGAAACAGTACAAAATTGGATTGAACTGCTGAGTGGTAAGCCTTGAACATAATGTATTTGCTTTTTCCTTCTCAAATAAAACTAATTATCTGGTATCACTAGAAATTATACTGTTATATTTTTGTGGAGATAGCATGCAAAAAAGTTAATCACCCTGTCATCTAGAGTAGTCTTTTGCTAATTTCAGCCTTTAATCAAATATAAGTTACTTGCTTTTGACTTAACTTGGTACAGAAAGGATCTAGATGGAAGTGTCAGAGGACATCTCTACTCTGTGGAAGAGGTGTCTTCGATATCCCCAACTCCCATCTTGTGCCCACGTGGCTGACCCATATACTTCCAGAATGCATTCAGGGGGCCATTCCTCTTCTCCCCATTTTTTAAATCCTCCAATTAATTCCTTTTTCTTTAAGCCTTCATAAACTGGTACTCGTAGCTCATCCCCATCTTGCCCTGGCAAAAGGAAAAATCCTGGCTGTATGATTACCAGAGTACAACTCCCTTTCCACCAGGTGGGGAGTTTTAGGTTAGCTCTTTTTCCACATATCCAAAATAAGCCATCTTGTGCTTTCCAATAATCATTATCCCGTTGATTTATATTTTCCCAAAATTTGGATATTTCTGGGATTCCAGAATATGGATTCCCACCTGTATTTTTACATTGAAAAAGTTTGGTTTCGTTATTATGTTTACAATTTTTCCTATTTTTTTTACTCTGGGCCCAATACAGCATTGGTTCTTCTGGGACTCATCATGTAAAAGTCCCATTACTAACTTTATATCTCTTACAGGGAGTACTTCCTACTCTGTTAAGAAAATTTTTCCCAGTGTGCCGGAGACATTCTTTTCCTCCTAATGTTGAACTAAAAAGCCACCCTTCTGGCTGGTTCTCCCCTCTTATATTTGTACAGTTCCATTTAAGAAGTTCAACACAGGGCCTAGGCTACTGCCTTTCCATGGCCGTTCCTCTGTCATCAAGACCCCCCACAGACCTAACTGTTGGTTACGTTTAGTTCTTTACTTATTCTTTCCCCCAAATCTACAAACAAGCTTTTCCCTAATCTGGGGATTTTTAATTTCATTTTTTAATTGTTGTTTGAGTTTTGTATACAAATCTTCATGTGGGTTTGACCCAGGATTAGATTTCAGCATTGGCTTAGTAATTTTGTTTACTATCTTTTCCTTTACCAAATCCTGGACCCCACCCCTGAGACCAAATGTAAAGCAAACCCATCTTTCTCCCTTTGGACATTCACTTCTCAATCTATTATCACTTGTTCCTAAGTTTTCTGCAATTCAGTATGTTTGCCCATCTTGTGTACAGGTATCTAATTTGGATGGGTCATAACAATAACTGTCGACATGGGTATGGGAAGTAAAAAAGGAACCTTGGGTTTTTCCCAAATAAAGTGATTGGTAGCATTTTTGACATGAATTTGCTTGAATCCCAAAAGGGAAAAGACAAAAAAGGAGTGACAGGTGAAAAACGAATAGCAGAGGTCCATTATGGCTTATACCCCCACCTCCCATGCCTATGGGGTTGCCACCCATAGCAGGTGCATATGATCTTCTTGGTAGCGAGTACAGTGGCCAATCCGGTCTTGCCCTCTATTTCCTTGTCACTTCCTATTTGCTGCTTTCCAGGCAAATTGCTTTTGACACTACTTAACTGTGGTTTCCCACTGTTCCTCAGGGACTTCCCACTCAATTGGTATCAATAATTCCCACCCACAAAGTAAATTAACTATTTCTGCATCTGATAGCTACTATCTGTTCAAAATTGGTGAGCCACGCTTGCGACATATCATACAACATGAGTGTCTTTTATAAGAACTACAGTACCATTTTTATTCACAATCTCTATATTTGCATATAACCCAGGTAGCATATCCTGTATTTGGGTTTATAAGGCACAGTATATGCGTTGGTACAGAGGGTGGCTGAAATTCAACCCTTAGGTCAGAATATAAGCAATTCAAAAGCTATACAAAATATTCTCTGGGTCTGAGATCTATATAAACCAAATCCTCCGGTTTGAAGACGAAGTATGTCTCCCCAAGGAGGGTATCTGAGTTTACTCAGAGTTTCTCCAGGGGGTACTTGAAACCACTCATATAAGCTTCCCTTACTTCCCAGTTGTCTGCTATCCATGGGAGATTATTTGGATCATCCCAGTCCATTACCACCTGATACCGGTTTAAGAGTCAATTTTGTATCACCTAGTTCTGATGTTATAGTTAACTCCTTAGGTTATTCCACAGGTCCTTTGATTCTGCTCGCATGGATCCACCCTCTTTCCTTGGTCTGGATCACTGCTTCAGTTGTCAGCAGTACCGGAAAAGGACATTGCCATTGTGGAGTTAAAGATTGCTCTTTCCATGTTTTAACCAGTACCCATTCTTCTGGGTAGACACTATGAATTTTAAATTCTAATGGTGCGGTTTGAGGGATTATCCCTTTCAATTTTCTGGAGTTCGTGCAATTGTGGTGACATATTTTCTAACACTTGCTTCCCCTTCTTTGTAAGTAGCAGTTTCATGTCAAGTGGTCAAAAAGGGCAGCCCGAACATCATTTCATAGGGTGATACTCCCAAGTCTGGTCTGGGTTGGTGTCCGGACCCTTAGTAGGGCCAAAGATAAACACTTGGCCTATGATATCCGGGTTTCAATCATCAGTTTAAGTTCCTTTTTAAAGTCTGGTTCATCCTCTCTACCTGGCCCTGGCTCTGTGGGTGCCATGGAGTATGTAATTCCCATTCTATTCCCAGGACCTGAGTTATTTGTTGTAAGACACTTGACGTAAAATGTGTTCTATCTTTCTTGTTAACCATTCCATACCAGGGAATAATTTGTTCCAAAAGGGTTTTACATACCACATTAGCTATAGCTCTAACAGCTGGGACAGCTTCTACCCACTGAGTTAAATGGTCTATTATTACTAATAAAAATTTCCATCTCTGCACTTGGGGAAGTTCAGTAAAGTCCACTTGGATGCTTTGAAATTATCGCAGGGCTAACTCACAACCTCTTGGTGTTGTTTTTCTCATAACCTTTTTATTTGCCTTTTGGCAAGTTATACATGTCTCAGTTGCTTGCTTTACTAATCCAAAGATCCCAATGCATCTAGAATTCCTTAAAAAGTGATCACACAAAGCCTGAGTACCCCAATGAGTCTTCTGATGTAGTTGTTCTACTATTTTCCTAGTAAGGGGCTTATTAAGTAACTGCCTCCCATCAGGGAGTTTCCATTTTCCAGATTGATCTTTTTTTCTCCCTATCTTGTTTAACTCCTCTTCTGCTTCAGTAAATTTTGGAATTTCCAATTCTTCCTTACCTGGAGTCAAAATTAATCTAACTTTTCTGCTCCCATTTTCTGCTGCATCTCTAGTCTCTTGATCTGCCAAATTATTTCCTCTTACTTCTGGGGTAATTCCCTTTTGGTGTCCTCTAACATGTACTACAGCTACTTCTTCAGGCAATTTTAATGCTTCTAAAACCTATCGAATGAGTACCTCATGAACCAGCCCTCTTCCTTTTGAATTCAGTAACCCCCTTCCCAATTTTTTCCAAAAGTGTGCACTACCCCAAAGGCATATTTCTAATCGGTATATATGGTTCCTTTCTTATGTGCTAAATATTCTATGCTCTCTTTAGAACATATAATTCACAAGATTGAGCAGACCAATTTGAAGGTAATTTCCCTTTTTCAATTGTCTGCATATTTTTCCCATTGACTAAAGCATATCCTGACATTCTATTTCCCTGTAAGCATCTGTCATGGTTTGACGCTGGCACAATGCCAGCGCCCCATGAAAATGCAACCTATCAATTGAATGCTGTGAAATGCGATCGAGAACAGAGCAAAGCAGGCCAAACTTAATAACAAAGGAAAAACTTTATTACACTACTACTACTACTATAAAAGAAAAAAGAAAGGAAAAAAACCCCACACAAAATTCGAAACGAAAACCTTCCAAACATTCCTCCTCCCACCACTCAACTCCAACAAACTACAGCGAGACCCATTTGGATCCTTAATCAAGTCTTCACTCTTCAATATAATCAATACTGAGTCCATTGGGGGAGAGAGGAGTCTCCCTTGCACCATAGACTCCCAGGAAACACAGCTGTCACCTCTTGTGTTTCCATGTCACACATTGGCACCACCCAGACACACCGGCCAGTGTGACACTCTCCTCTCCATGTCACAGTGCTCTCACCACTGTTCATGGACCAAGATTGCTTATAGGGCTCCTTTAAAGATGCTTTGCCAAGGACCAACAGGAACAACAGTCCAGTATCTCATTTTGGGACTACAGTCCCCCCCATTTTCCCCTGGGGCCAAGGGTCCAAGAACAGAGATCTTCTTCTCTTCCTCTCTGAAGACAGAGGGCATCCTCACACCCTCCTCGGCTCTCTCTGTTCATTCCTGAACTGGTAGTTGCTGAAGGAGGTCTCTTGGCTCACCATTGCATCCCCCTAAAATGCCATCCCTCTTGGAAGAAGGAGTGGTTCGGTCTATTGTTAACAAGAAGAGCCCAGCCAAAAGACACTCCATCATCTCCCCCCAACCTTTTTTTCCCAACATCTGAGGTCTCAGGCTGTCTCTCTTTCCTTCAAATTGAGGAGGAGTAATACTTCATAAAGCCTTCATTTCACAGGAAAGGGTTAAAATTCCCAGACTTCCCAGACTCCCCGGACAGCTGAAAATCTCGGCCCAGGACTCCGTCTCCAGTCTCCCACGCTGGGCATCGGTCCCACCCCCTCCTCCTTCTCCTCTGCTGGCAAACTTCCAGGTGTCAGCAGTCTCTGTATCTCTTTTCCCTCTAGGTTGGGGGGGGGGGGGAAACAAAGACATCTCAGATGTTCTCCACCCTTCCGTCCGCATGAGCTGGCCCAGCTCAGTTCTCGATCCTTCACCCCCTAGCCTACCTCTCCACGCCACATGGCTCCCCTCCCCCACCCAGACTGGGCTGGGCAGGGGCGGTCTGTACCTTCCAATGACCAGAACCAGAGAGAGCGAGTTGTCCTGGGA